GGGAATTATAACTAAAACTTGTAAGAAATGTGTCAGGAGATGTCCAAAACAGGGCCCATGATAACGGATGCCCCAAGAGTTCCCTCATGTGGAGCTGTTATGTATCCACAGAGAGGAATCTGGCATCTCAAGGCACAAGGCACATCTCTACTTCATTCAGGGAGGTAGTAGTCCGGGAGTGCAGGATTTAGCATTCAAAATGTAAGATGGGCTTAAAGAGAAGGAAGTCACTCAAGGCTTTCAATGGAGGGAGCTGCAGGGAGTAAAGGTGGGGGCCAGGGGAGACCAGAAGGGAAGGAGGAAGGCCATCAGATGGGAGGGTAGAAAGCACACATTTTGAGAAGGGCATATGTTATCCAAAACTTATAGGAGGAAAACAGTAAGAATATTTAAGGGCCTTCCTGGTGGCACAAGGGGTTAAACACAGCACTATGAAGCTATCTGCAGCCTCGGCAGCACGAGTTCAATCCCCGGCTGGCCAGGGAGCTACCCACATGGCTCAGCAGACCTCTCCTGTCTTGCCCACTGTTCCCAGCAGTGTATTTCAGCCTGCCTGTTCTGTTCCCCACCCCATCTCTGGTGAATTCTCTCACCCCCCCCCCACACCTCTGGCCTGTACCCCAATTCTTTCATGCATAAATAAATAAATCTTTACAAATACAGAACAAAACTTTCATTAAAAAAATTCAAGTAAAAAAAAATTCAAGTAATGAGGTTACCATTATAATGAGGTGTTAGGAACTGAGCTAGACTATTTTTAATATTTAATAATGGGAATTAAAATACCCACTTTACAAATAATAGTACAGAGATTTGGGAATACTAAAGCAAAAAGTTGGTAAGTAATGAAGTCCAATTTTAAGTCTCATATGTCTGATACCGTAGTTCCAGTGGTTCTTGTCCTACATCATACTACTAATTCTAAGGCAGAGCAAGGAAAAGGGAATCTTTCAATTCCTCAGGGGTACTGTGGGACTCTTATCTTCCCTGAGCTTTCCTAAGGTGATAGTAAATGAAAGAAGGGCTTGGCTGCAGAGCAGTACCTCTGAGCAGTACAGCCACTAGTTCTAGGAAGAAGAAATGATTTAAGAGGGGCATGTGTTCAAACAGGCTTGCGCTAGAAAAGAAAGCAATTAAGTAGATAGGATTCATGCCACAAATATTTACTGAGATCCTACTATGTGGGAGGCATGGTTTTAAAAGGACAAAGGAAAATAGTGAGTAAAACAAAGTTTCCACTTCACCTTATGTACAACTTAATGAGTCACGCCCTTTGTGATCATCCCTAGTATTAGAACAGTAGTTCTCTTGACTGACCAGCCTCCCAGTGGAGGTATGATAAAAAACATGAAGCCAGATCAGGTAGCGAAATTCTGATTCAGTAGGTCTGAAATGAGGTTTAGGGACCTGTATTTTTTTTATTTTTTGAAGTTCCACTAGTGTTTCTAAAGCTGTCTTGAAAGGATTCAAGAGAATAGTCAACCTATCGTTTTAATATATTTGTATAAATCAAGTTGTCTGCTTCTTTTACATGGACTTAACTTTATCACAGGACCAGGTATAAATTTAAAAGTCACCCTTTTGAAAGAAAAAAAAAAAAAGTCTTTTGTAAGTGGTACAATCTAAATAAGTTAAGTAGATGCTCTCAAAAGCTAAGAAATTCTGGAGTGAAAAGGTTGGCCTCCCCTGGAAATGTGGAAATCTTAACCTTACATAGGATGCAAAAAAATACCACAAACCACATGTCATGATTAAAGCTATATCCTATTCTTGGGCAAAACACATATGAATGCATACACAGGTCAATCACAGTCATATTAACTACAGTTCAACACTAATCACATGGCACTGTAAACTAAATAATTATTTGAGACTTATTTCCTGGGTAGAAAAGTCTTAAGTGGAAAATTTAAGCAAAAAGACAGCATGAGGGAACACTCCCACACACGAGAAGGCAGAAAGAAGACTTTTGGAATCTTTTTAGCCAAACAACCACATTCTGAGGCAGACAGAACTGAAACATGAGCAATATAATGGAGTCTATGAACAAGAGGTGCTTTTGTTCACCTGTTCCGCCTGATTCATGTTTCCCTCTTTGCTTTGACAACCAGGAGGCTCAAAGCCAAATACATGGCTCACATCAAGCCACTCTACAGAATTCTTTTGTGTATAAACTTACTCATGTCTTCATATGCCTTTAAAAATAAAGTTATTTTTAAATACTTTATTTTTTATAGTTTTTAGGTTCACAGAAAGTTGAGCAGAAGGTAAAGAGAGTGACCATATATTCATATATCCATAACCCATGTCTACTACACGTAGCCTGCCCACCTATCAAAATCCTACATCCAAGCAAAATGCTTATTAGTTACTAGTGATGATCTTACACTGATATATCACCCTCATCTACAGTCCTTAGTTTACATTAGAGTCTAACTGTTGGTATTGCACATTCTATGGGGTTTGAAAGTATATAATGACATGTATCTACCATTACAGTATCACACAGAGTAGCTTCACTGTCTTAAAAGTCCTCAGTGCTTCACCTATTTATCCCTCCCTCCTCCTAACCACTGACAGCCATGAGCCTTTTTATGTTTTCATAGTTTTGACTTTTTCTATCATATAGTTGAAATCATACAGTATCTGTCTTTTCAGATTGGCTTGTTTCACATAGGTATATGCATTTAAGGTCCTTCCATGTCTTTATATAGTTTGATAGCTCATTTCTTTTTAGTGTCAGTAATATTTCGTTGTCTGTATGTACCACAGTTTGTTAATCCATTCACTTACTGAAGGACAAACATCTTGTTGCTCCAAAGTTTTGGCAAGTGTGAATAAAGTTCTTATTCCGGTGTAGGCTTTTATCAAGGCAGAAAGCCTCAATTCATTTGGGTAAATGGACACTTTTGATTTTTATCTAATATATAAATCACCTTAGATCCTTATTGAAATGAGCGAGAGTACATAAAATGAGTAGCACTTTCAGTGAAAAGGCAAAAAATGTGATGAGAAAATGAACACTGGAACAGCTTGAACTAAAACTGAGAAAAAATTTTTCTCTTTCATTGTGAAACACTCATTCCCAGAGGCCCATAGGAAAATTGATCGCACACTCACAACACAATAACAAGTTTTCTAAACAAGAGCAAAGCGCTTAAGGTGCCAAAATAATTTTTACTCTCTCATAAAATGCCACAAACGCCTGAAAACACTTCTGTATAGATTTCAATCCATTTCCTTTCACAACTATGAGAACAAAATAAAGAGCACGTTACACATTTAGGCATATATGCTATGAAATAATCACATGTATAAGGAAGATTTATACAACATTAATTTTATACGCTAATTTCAACTCTTTTATTGATATTCCTTCACTTATTATCTCTTTGCCCCTGAGAGCTTAATCAAATTTATTTCACCTGCCTCTATTGTATGTATTTATATGCCTTATGTCTTTTTTTTTTTTTTTTTTTGGTGGCAGGTAGAAAAACACTTTCAAAGAATGAATCAGATAAGTAGTCCAAACCTCATAAACTCTCTGAAGACAGCTTCTACAGTCACTTTCTCTATTCTCGTACAAAAACTCACCTGAGGAAAACCTTTTTCTCCTTATTGTGAATTCTCTTATATGCCATGGGGATAAACTGTACCATTGCTAGCAATCTAACTTCAAACTTAGAAATTATAATATCATTTGATTAAAAAATCATTCTACATAGCAGACATTGCTCTTTGCCTTAAGAGTTATTTAAAGGCCTCTTAAACTCAGGATCCTTTGTTATAGTAGCTTATGTTTTGTTTAATAATTATAAGAATGATGTATGATAACTGCATAAATTTTGGAAAATACAAATAAGGAATAAAATTGAATGAACCTATATTTTACTTAGAGAAATTACTGTTAATCTTTCATTGTATCTTACATGCTAATATTTTTCACATGGATAATATGAGGGAAATGTTGATGTGAACATCTTTTTTTTTTTTTTTTTTTTTTTAGCTAAACATGGTTTTATCTAAATTTCCTCTACCCTTACACAGTCCAGTCTTCCTTACACAACCAAACATACAGAATCTTCCGCTTTTTCCATGCAGAACACATGCTCACTACACAGTCCCTGTCTCTACTGGACAGGATCCAATAAGGAGAGAGTTTATTTACTGAGTGTTTACAATCAATTCTTATCTTGTCTCTTGCTTTACCTGTTCTTTCACAATTGTTCATATCTTACACTCACCTTGCTTATCAAAATGTTACACTTTTTTGCTTCACATACCTTCTATATATACACCTATACAAGAAGCTTCTGTTTTTAACCTCTATAGCATCAAATTATGTTGTCTCTAAATCTTACCTAAAATTTAAACTCATTTAAAGTGTATATGCCTTCCTTCCTAAATTAACTTCTATAAACTCACAAGATTAATCTACAAAATAAAAACATACCCTTTTGAACAGACCCTATATGTGGTACCCCAATTCTTGGTCTCTGAAAATTTTATTCAGGATGTAGAAGGTGGTATTAAGTAAAAACAAATGCCTGAAACTAAACAGACATGTGCTCTTGTGACATAATGATTTTCACCATAGCACAGAGGTAATTCAATCTGGTTTTGTGAGGTAAAATTATTTTGAGATTTGAACTGGTCTTATATGTCTTAGTTTGGATCTCTTCCACATGTGTCTGCTTAGAATGAAAACAACAGAAGTAGGTGAACGTGAAGACACTTCCAGATCCTGGTTACTGAGATCAAATAGAATGTTACCTGGCACATGTGAACTAAAAATAAGGTACCGGCCGTGAAGTATTAATAAAAAATAGGCCATGCAATATTCGTTCCTTAATAAGAAAAAGATCAGAGAAGGTCTATTCAATCACTCCCAGCAGAGAAATCAACCACCATGAAATGACTTTCATATTGTAAGAGTAGTTCCTTTTAGGCTGTCCCTGTCCTGATAATTCACTCTTTGTGGCAAATGTCCAGCACATTACCTTGCAGGTCTGAATCGTTGGCCTTTGGACTGCTCCTGGCTCGGCGCTCTGCTTTCTTAACTCCTGGCCCACCTCCACTGCCACCTCCACCACCGCCGGCCCCACTGTGGCCCTTCCCGTAGCCATTGTACACGGTTGTGCAGTTGCTTTTGTAGATAGAAGAAGGAGGGCTGTTGAGGCGATTCTGACGGTCAATCTGGCGGTCTTTCAGTTTTTTGTGTGGAGGTTTGCTGTACTGATCTTCTCGGGTAATGTAGCTTGACATTCCATAGAGTGGTATAATTTCTGAAATGGATCATTATGACAAATGCAAGCTCAGTTTACACTGTCAATAGTAAATTACTAAATGGTCAAATGACCTAACTACTGAAGGAAAGAGTTTAGAATATTACTAAATATGGTATAAAAACATATTTAATATAATCTCATTCAGTTCTAAACAATCAAGGAATTAATTAATCATTAAAGACCATACTGTACGTTCAGAAATGTTTCAAAAATTGTGAAGAGGTAACTGTCATCAAAGAGTTCATATTCTAGTTGAATTTAAAACTAAGTCTGATTATCCCTATTAAACTGTTTTTTAGTCACAATATTTAAAAACAGTGGAATAAAGTACCCCCTTTACACATGTGCTTAGAATTGAGATACTTAAGAATATACCTATGCTTGTAAACAGAATAGCATTTCTATTGAAAGTATATAGCAAACAGAATATAAGGCGTTATTTAAGACCCAAAATTTCAGTCAATTAAGAAAATAATGAGATGAGGAAATCCCATTAAAAATAAAGCTCACAGAATCAGGTGAAACATTCAAGGGAAAACCTCAGGGATAAAAAATACAAGTCTTCTATGCACCTTGTGCCAAACATACTAAGCTGTGGTCTTTTTCTATCTTGGAGTAATCAGAAGGCAAGACACACTGACTAGCAGAGTGTCATTGGCTTGACTATGAAGATTTTTAAGCACACAAGAAAATAGGAGCCTTCAAAATAGTTGCATGATATCCAGGGCAAAGCATTATTTTAAATTTAAAATTTTAAATCAATAAATTTTTTTATTTTATTAAAAACATTACTTAACATACAGATTAGGTCCTTACATGAAAAAAAGAAAGAACACCACCCAATGAATAGAGTAACTATACAAATTACCATTCAAGACTAAATACCTCTGAGAGTTAAAAGGGAGAACCTCTATTTCTCTGGACAGAATCCCAAACCAGAGCTGTCCTAGGAATGCATAGTCACCCTACAGAACTTAATAATTGATGTTTCTTTTGTTTAGTGATAAAGTTCCAGCTTTCATTTTCTTTCTATTCATTATACTTCAGATTTAATATATATTCACTAAGGGCACTGATATAATAATCTTTTAAAAATGTGGATAAGTTTTAAACTCTTATGGTTTGGGAAATTAAGTATCTAAATTGTTTTTAGGGATGCATATTAAGAACTAAAATAAGACAATACATATACAAAGGGCTTTTTACTTATAAAGCAAAGGGATTTTTAAAACTTCCTTCTTTAAGTTGCAGTCAGTGAAGACACTTTTATCTTCTAGCTTGTGTTATTTTAATAGAATTAAACCAAAATACACTATGAAATGAAAACACACATTTTTTTAAATTCTAATGATGATTTGAATCATACTGCTGTTTTGTCTAAAATTGCAAAGGACACCATTTACAAAACAGTAACTCTGTGCCATCTAACTAACAACAGACTGTTAAAATTAGGCAGGCCAGACACTTTTTATCAAGTAGCCAATGTTTTTTCCAATGTCATTAAGCTCAGAGTTGACCTGAAACTGATAAACACTCAAATATTTACTGTATCATTTCAAATCACTGAACACTTAAAAAAGGAAAAACAAAACAAAACCCTACACTTAATTAACTGATTTTTTCTTTTTTCAGTTTTTTTATACAAATGCTTTCAAAGCAGATGCCTACTACCTGGCGTTTGGGGCTGTCCTATCACAAGGCAAGAAGGTTAATAGGAAGTGATTGATTTTATCATCTAGCCATACCCTAGTATAGGACATGATTCCTTTGAATGATGCTAAAATTCTAACTATACAAAAACAAAATCTACCCCTAAATTTGCAAAAGGATATTTCATTAAAAGTTTTTTTTTTATTTGGGCCTCCCCGGTGGCACAGCGGTTGAACACTGGACTACAAAGCTGCCTGCAGCCTCTGCAGCGCTGGTTCGATCCCCGGCCACCAGAGGAGGGTTCCACATGGGGCGCAGAGCTCTCCTGCCACCTGCTGCTCCCCTCAGCAGTGTACTTCGGTCCTTCTGCCTGCTCTGCTCCCCGCTCTGGCTCTGGTGAATTTGCTTACCCTCCCGCGCTTCTCACTGTACCCAGTGTTTGTATAAATAAATAAATCTTTAAAAAAAAAAGTTTTTTTAATTAATAAGAAAAAGTTATAATGTAAGATAAACATACAGAGGAAAATACATGTATAATTGATAAGAGAAAATGAGGTGTTAATTTGCTCTGAGATGCTATGGTGTAAAGGAATTTCTCATACATTTTATCTGACTATAATAAATGTTTGAAGCAACAAAATGCTTCAATGCACAGTCAGAATCAGAAAAAAATCATTTTGCCAAAGTCCTAGAGGTTAAAGTCTAATTTTTACCCTCCTTTATCTGGCTTCATAGTATCTATCTTGATAGAGAAGGGCTTTAGACAAAACCAACACCAAGGCCAAAGCTAAAAAGACATAATGTCAGTATCTTAGACTCTTTTTCATTTCAAAGTATTTGCCTCCCAGTCAGTGAAACTGCAGCTTTATTAATAGCTATTCTTAAATTAAAAACAGGGTTCCTGAATACCGAGATGACAGTGAGGGGATTCCAAGATTGCAACACAGAGCATTCAGAAAACCCAAAGGTTATTGAGCCCTCACATTCTCCTATCATTGTAATGGGGCAGAAAACACCTTTTCATTCCCCTTCAATGGCTAGACCATATGGATAGCTAGGAAATATGTGCTTCTGTTCTGCCTCAGGTCACTCTCACGTAAAACTACATGAACAGGACATAGGAACATTCGATGAACCACTGCTTTTCTGATAAGAAGTGTTTATCCCCCTCCTTGCTCTGTGTAGGGGGGAAGAGAAAGAGAGGGGATTTCAGAAAATGGAGAGGAAAAAAGAGGCAAAACCTACAAAGTAATATTTGCAACCTAGATAAAGGAAGGGAAGACTTTTCCGTCGACTTGATACAGTAGGTAGATTCCCTTAGACCATGTTTTCTATAGAAGAAACAAAGGGCTCTCTGATCCCATAGGGTACTTAAGCATGTAGCCCATTTCAACAGTTTTTCAATGCCAGCAATAATTGCTGCAGGAGGCCTTGTAGCCCCAGCCAGATCTACTCACCTTGCTCGCCATATATTGTAGGGGGAAGATGATGCTGAGGAAAAAACTGAGGCGGCATCTCTCCAGGTCCAGTAACAGGTGGGTAGTAAGCCGTGTGTGAGTTAATAAAATGCGGGTGGTGAGTCAGGTAGTGGGGTAAGTGATGGGTTGGAGACATGGCTGAGGGGTAGCTTGGGGGGTAGCACTCAGGAGACTGGGGTGTGACTACCACCCGGCGGACACCAGTGTTGTCTTCAATCACCTAAGAAAATAAGCAAACAGCAATAGTAGTATGTATTATTAGCAAACACTCTGTGAATAATACAAAGTATTAATGACTTCTCTCCATTTTAATTTTCTCTTTTCCATAGAGGAACAAAAATGAATGCATTTTGACTTCTGGTTATCTAATTCAACCAGTTAAATGAGTTTTAGAAATAGTAAGTTAACTATTAAAATAATGGAAAATAAACTTTTCATGAACCATATGATTCTGACTAACCAAAACTTTTTAGAATTTAATAGCTTGATAATCTCCTTTGTCTCATGAAATTTGCAGGTGAAGTCTTCTTCCAAGACAAAACATGTATGCTGAAGCTCAATTTTAGGAATGACTTTGAGTATATCCTTTCAGTGATTTTCCAGAAAGTCTTTCTAAGCCACACAAGAGTTTTTCCAGGGTTGAGCTTCCAGATCTGCCTGATGACACCAGGCACTGTTCCTGCATTCACACACACAGTTCCATCATCTTAAGGACTTTAGGAGGCACAGAGAATACCAACTGCAGAAGCCTTAAGAGTACAAAAGGCCATTTAACTTGAGACCTCAGAATTTGGATGAAATTAGAGGATTTTAACAAATGAAAATTTTGAGCAATTCCATAGCAAGATAGACACCTTGGCCCCGAAGATGTCTTGATGACATTATGAGTGTTGTAAAGGGAGATACTATAAGCCAATCACCATTCTGTCCATACTTCCTTCATAGGGTTTTAACTTACCCAAGGAAGGTAAGTAAGGTAGTTCCATGCCAATATTTACTGCCTCTGTGGTCAACTTCATGCTTCCTATTCTAAGAGCAAACAGTTCTACTTAGACACAAAACAAGAAATAATACAATAGACACCATAGTCAAAAGGTTAAAACTGCAGGTACAAAGAACAAAAGCATGGAATGGCAGAATCAGGGAAGGCTTCACGAATCTCAAGAACTGGTAGGGCTGGTACAGTGGAAAGAATGGTCCCAAGGTCAGAGACCTGGAAGGATGAGCTCCAAGAGGGCAGAAGGTTGACTGTAGAAGTCAGACACAGATGCCAAAGAGACCAGCTGATCTATCCAATATTTAAGACAATAAGGCACAAACACCAATAGGAAGTTTAATTAAAAAAGAAAAAAAAAAACACTGAAAATTAAACTTGGTATATTGAAATGGATTTCACACTACACCCCAGGAGGTTGATTACAGGCAAAATAAAATGACTTAATCATGTTTTAAAAACTCTAAATATTTATGTATGTATACATCGGTATCAATATATAATATATACAAAACTTCATTTAAAAAAATACTGGTTAGTACAAAATGACAAGTTTATCAGTTTAGTGTATATTTTATAGGACAGGTTTAATTTGAATTAATCTTCAAGAAAACAAAAAATCTGTTTATTAATAAACCAATGCATAATAGTTTCAGAATGAGCTATGTGCGTAGCTCATTAACATAGTAATAGTAACTCTTTATTAAGGTTCTGAGTCAAACTGCCTACTAAAAAGCAGGACATAACTTTTTATTGATTCTTTGAGAGATATAAACAGGGCATATACATATAATGACAATTTTTTTAATGTTTTATCATGTAATTTCTGATTTATCAAAACACTTTTTAAAAAAGCGGTATAAAAAGCACTAACAAAGAATTCTAGTCACAAAAAAGAAAAAAATACAGAGCTAAAACATTAGCTTTTTACTTCTACATTTTAAAACAATAACTATTTCTCCTACTTTAAAAAGCTGATAGGTTTGAAATATAAACTATCCTTCAGAAAATAATAGATTTCCAGTAAGAAAACTAAGCAGCTTCTTGAAACCATAAATTCTCTACATATATAAAAACTGTTTGACAACTTCCTTTTTAATTATCTTAAATTATTCTATGGCATTTGTGAAAAACATCTATTTTTCTGTACACTTGCTCCCTAACCTACCAATCAAGGCCCATATTGGCATTAAAAATATTTTTAAGACATGAAATATTAATCTGAAATAATCAGAAGCAAAAATCAGTAATCCATGCTGAATATTGTGCTCCTATAACACAAACTACAATATATTTATCAAATTCAGTTTTCATCTATATCTAAGGAAATTATACCTATGTTCCCCCAAATATAAGAAAATTTTAGGAACAATATCATACAAAATAATAAACAACTCACAAAATGGTGGCAATAACATTCTTTGCTTTAAAAATATGGCTCAAGAGGAGCCTCACTGGTGACCAGGGGTTAAGTCTCAGCACTATCACTGTAATGGCCCACCATGGTGGCCTGAGTTCAATCCCTGGCCATGGAGCTAACCCACATATGGTGCAGCAGACCTCACCGGTCTCGCCCGTTGCTCCCCTAAGTGTATTTCAGTAAATCTGCCTGTTCTGCTCCCCACTCTGTCTCTGGTGAATTTTCTCACTCCCACGGACCTGTGGCCTACACTCCAGTTTTTCTATGCAAAAATAAATAAAATCTTTTAAAAAATAACAGAAAAATATAGACATCAGAAAGAGTTCAGTCCAAAAATCCTGAGGCAATAGAAAGTGTCTTCAATCTTCACAAACAACCATGGAAAAGACAGATTCATTTCCAACTGAGGTAAATGAAATTCTGAAAGTCCAGAGGCACACAAATTGCATTCAACAGTTATTTCCTGACACAGACTATGTGCTCAGCACTGGATACTCAAAAGGTTAGAAAAAGAGGACTAAACAGTAAGATTTATCTACATAGCCTAAGAATAAGAAGAGAAAAATTAGAGTAAGTTCTAGTTAATGCTGTTAAAAAAAATCGGGACAATGTATTGTTTCGTTTTGTTTTCAGAAATCAGGGTGAAATATTCACCTAGATTTCTTTTAGCTCTGTGACTCAAACAGTAACTCCAGTATGTTCTCCATAAAGCACAGACCTTTAAAAAAGATCACTGTGTTTGGGGCTCTGGCTGCCATTGTCATGGGCTGAACTGTATCCCAGCTCCCAAATTCATATATTTAAAGTCCGAACCCGAGGTGTGTGACTGTATTTGGACATGGGGCCTTTAAAGAGATAATTAAGGTAAAATGAGGCCATAGGGGCCCCAAATCATTAGGGTCTTATGAGAAGAGTTTAGGACAGAGGTGTGAGAGAGAAGGCCATGTAAAGAAGGCCATCTACAAGCTGAGGAGAGGCCTCAGAAAAAAACTGACTTTGTCATCCCCTCAGTCTTAGATTTGCAACCCTCAGAACTGTGTGGAAATAATGTCTTGTTAAAGCCAGTCCAGTGCGTTGTTACTGTAGGTAGCCTAAGAAAATGAATGCATGCCTATCAGAATCTCCCAAGTTTTCTCTACCTCAAGTTCTACCAGCATTGTGCAGATTAAAAAAAAAAAAAAATCCACTTTAAAAATTCATGCATTTTCTTTCTTACTCAGGCTAAGGAATAGTCAGTTTGATGACCAATAGCTAGTTTGATTCTTTATCATGCCTCTTTATTTCCTTCAATAACTATTTACGGAGAATCTTCTATGTGCCTCGTGTTCTTACTATCCTGTGAGTAGACATAAAGATGGGAGACTGGAAAACGAAGCACAAAAGGTTAAAGATGGAAAATGTTTGTCTTCAGGAGTGTCTTGAGAAGTAGGACTAAGAGAACTATTAAAACAATATGAAATAACCTAGAGGCAACAGGGAGAGGAAGAATTAATGGGAGGCAAGAGGAGGGAAGAGAAAGAAACTCACAGCCAGTGCAGGTGCCCCAGCTGCTTGCCCTGGGCTAGCTCACTCAACTCCTTAGCTACTGGAGAATTAGGAATTAACATCCCTGCTGTACCAAAGAAAACCAAAGCACAGCAAGATCATGATGTACAACTGGTTCAGATGCAGAACCAGGTTTTCATTCTGCTCTGTTACACCTTAGAGTTCATGATGTGCAAAGTAGTCAAGTTAGGTGTGCTGAGAAATAAATCTACAATGAACAATGACAAACTATTAAGAGATGTGAAAGAATTCAAGATACAACCAATATTTACTGAATACTTGTTGCTCTGCTTTAATACTCTGTAATTGAAATAAGGCAACAAACACATGTTAATGTCCCGGAACAGTCACTGATATATAATAGAAAAATCTTACCTAGCAATGACTACTATTAATATTCCCAACTCATTATATCCTCCCAACAACGCTGCCCTCATTTTAAAGATAAGAGTAATAAACCTCAGGTCAAGGAGCTACATGGGGCACTTGAGTCCAAAAATGAATTTCTAAAAAAGACTTATATTATGTCTTTTCACTAATAGAAGAAGTAGTTCCCTTTACTTAGTTGAAGGGATCCACAGAAATTTCAATAAACTCAATTCTTAAAACTCTTCTGCTACTGGACTGCAATGCAAGCGTAAAAATCAAAAGAGCTTATAAGGTAAGAGGCAAAATTGTGAAAGGCTGCCCGTGATGGCCAGAGACAATCCAGAAAGCAGACAGAGGAGACTACAGGTGCATGCCCAGGAACCTGTATGCAAGTGGGCAGTGTGGAAGACCTGGCAGCCAGCTAGCTGCGGTAGCAAGGACAACCAAATGAGCTGCCTGCACACAGAGAACTAGGACCAAATGACTCTGTGAACACTGGGCTTAGGCTCAATACCCAACTATTGCCAACATATTTGAAGTTAATACATTCAGGTTACTGAAGGGGATCATAATTCAAAGATATTATATGGCATTTGTCTTTAGGGCTTCTGGGACTGAGTCTTTGAGATAGGCTCATTCCTGAGGTGCCCTGCATAGAGATACCCCCATAAATAGCAATCTCTCATCTGCTGACATTACAGGTAGCAAATACTTGTACACACCTGAAAACAAGCCAAGTGATGCACGCTTTTAAAAATCTTTAATCTGGAAAAATGGAGTGCAACTAGGGCACATATAAATGAAATCAACATTTAGTACTTCACTAAACATACTGGGTTTTTTCCAGGTGACCAACAATTCCTAACAAAAACCACCGTGGATTGGAGAGGAT